ATGTTCATGATGCTCTGGGAGACGAAGAGGAAAACGAGCAGCGAATATGCTTTGGGCCCTCTGCGAAAGAGGATCCCACCACACTTGCTTTCCAACGAAGCGGGGCAAACATGGATTGTGTAGGAGAAGATCTCAACCTCTATTTGCAACATCATTTACAGATAAATTATTTTCTCATTTCTAGAACCAAACTCGTGCGAGGGAAAACTCTCAGTCTACTCTTAATCCTGTGCTGAATTCAGCAGCATCGTGAAGTCCACAAAGAAGGTGCCGGAACATGTTCCTTGCAAGGTCAACATACCATAGAATTTGTTATCACCCTAGTGTAGCACACGAATTTACAGCCATAGCTCTCTTCCAGAAACCGACAAAAAGGCACAATTATCAGCTGTGTCTCGGCCCACTCTCCATCGCCAGAGCTCGCGTGCTGTCTTGGCTGTCTTCGAACGGATCAATGAACTCTGTCGTCTTCTTTGCTCTCACTGGCATCCGTCTCTCGTCGACTGTCTCCGGCGGCAGCTTGCCTTCGAACTTGAAGCCAATCTCTTTCAGACGGACAGCCTTTGCTCAAACATTATCGCGTTTCAGTGAATCTGGCATCAGAAGGAGTACTTTCGGGTTTGGGGGTTTAGGGCACTCCCTGTATATACCCACTACTGACAAACTGTAAACTAATGTACTTCTGATTACATGGAAAAACCTAAACCGAAAAGTGCTGTTGAATACATCATGTAGTTGCGTGCACGACTGCAGGGCTTTTGCCGGTGCAAAGAAAGAAAGACTCACCATGCCGGAAGAGCGTCCCCGCCCCGAAGCATCCAGCCACCCACATACTGCTCATCGAATCGATCGGGCTCATGCCAATCCTGTGAAATACGATTTGTGTTCTGCAAGAACAAAGGGGAGAAAGTAACAGTCTGAGCCTGGCCTTTTCGCCTCCTTCCACCCCAAAACACAGTTGAAGTTGTGGTGTGTCTGGGAGTAAGCTGTCATGGTAGTGAAAGGCTTCAAGATGTCATCGATTCGCACGTTTTTGCCTTGGCTGCTGTGAATCAACCCACAGTTCCCTAGTGCCGCCTCCAAACGAAAATAGCTAAACCAAACTCAAGGAGCAGGCAGGAGCTGAAGTGGGATGCCAAATTTTGTCCTTGAGGTTGCGTACCACCTGACCCTCCCAATCCTTCTCGGACAAACACGGCGTGGAGGGAGTGTCATCCCCGCCGCAAACCCTTCTGCCCAAAGCTCTCACAGCCACACATGTGAGGTTCGGCATCGAGTTTTCCACATGGCCCACACGTTTCGTAGCTTGCTCCAGCTCTCGAAACACCTGTTCCAAACAGGACGACTGGCCCCACTTCGGGTACCATGCATGCACAATGTCCTCTATTGCCTTGCAATCCTTGAACTGGTGCATTGCCATGGTGGCCAAAATCTCCCGGTACACCTGAAACGTGGTGTGCAGCGAATGCTGCTTGAGAACACTGGACCCAGAGGCTGTGGCCTCGATCTCTCTGATCATCTCGTACTCTTCATGAGCAGCCTTGAGAATCTCATTCCGAGTTTGAGGGGTTGCTTCTGCTGAGCAAAAGGCGGCTGCCCGACACGGGAAGCTCCGAAGGTAAAGTGCGTACTCCTGGAGCTCGTGGCAGCAGGACAGGAAGCCATTCAACTGCTCTTTCAGAACCTCGTTGTCCAAAGTTGAGCGGCGACTGCCAATTTGCACGACCTGTTCCACAATCAAGTAACCAAACCGGACCCTATTTAATTGCTGTTGCTGCTGCTCCTACTTTACTTGAATCATTGGATCAGACCCCCGAAGCCTGTCCGAATTGTGCGTGTGGGGTTTGGCGCCGGGCCCTGGCGAAAACCGTGCCCACCAAACCGTGTACAAACTCTCGCAATTTTTTCGTCGTTATTAAGCACACACCCGAAGGCTGTTCGCTTTGCTGTGTCCATGGTCTTGCGGTCTAATGGCTAGCATCTCCAATCGAATCGATGTGCTATACACTAGTACTAGTGACCAAAACTTAGAAAGACT